TATATATATATATATATATATATATACTTACCATATGATGCAGCAATCCCACTCCTGGGTATTTACTCGTGTGAAATAAAAAAATTATCTTCACTAAAAAACCTGTACATGAATGTTTATATCTTTATTCATAAACACCAAAAACTGGAAACAACTCAACTGGAGAGCAAATGAACAGTGGTTCACCCACACAGTGTAATACTACTCAGCAACACCAAGAACAAGCCACTAATACCCACAACAGGGATAAACCTCATATGCTTTATGCTAAGTGGGAGGAGCTAGACTCAAAAGTCACAAGAGTGTCAGATTACATTTGTGACATTCTGGAAAAGGCAAAACTACAGTGATGGAGAACAATTTAGTGGCTTCCAGAGGCTAAGGATTTGGGAAGGTTTGTGGGTAAAGGGGTAATGGGGATCTTTTTGCAGGGGTGAAGCAACTGTTCTGTATCTTTGTTGTCACAGTGGTAACGTGACGCTGTATGTTTGTCAATACTCAGAACCATAGGCCAAAAAGGGTGAATGTTCCTGTAAGTAATTTTAAAAATACATGTAAATATTTTCTCTTACAAAAAAATTTAAAATAAGTGCCAAAATCCTCTGAGGCCAAAATAAGGGTGACTCTTGTCAACATCCATTGTGGGTTTCAGAGTCTAGTCCAGTTCTTTGCCACCTGCTGTGTTTTCCTCACCACACTTGCCCAGCACTAGAACAAACCTACCTATCTATCTCCCTGTCCACAGGTACTGTGGCTTGATAGCTGAGCCTGGCTCCACCGAGCTATTAGTGCAGCTCTTCCCTCATATCAGCGTGCCCATGCACAGCTAACGTCTATGCTCTGCTCTCCCCTCTCAGGGCTGTAGTGGGGATGAGCGGGCAATGGCTAAGGAGCTGGCCGGACTTCTCTGTGAGGGCACTGAGGACACTGTGGCAGAGGGCCAGGAGCCAGCAGAGTTCTGGGACCTCCTGGGAGGGAAAACTCCCTATGCCAATGACAAGAGGTAAGGGAACACAACGTCCACTCCTCTTGGCTCCCCCTGGCTCCCCCTACCTCCCAGGCTTGTGAACTGCACAAACTCTAAGATCCCTTTCAGTTTAAAAATGATTCCTTAGCAGCTGGGTTCCTCTAAAAGGACTGTATTGCAGACTACAGCAGGAAATCCTAGATGTCCAGCCTCGCCTCTTTGAGTGCTCTAATAAGACTGGCCGGTTCATTGTCACTGAAATCACAGACTTCACCCAAGATGATCTGAACCCAAGTGACATGATGCTCCTGGATACCTGGGACCAGGTACGACATGACTGACAAAGATCCCCACAGTGTAGGCTACTTTTTTTGTGTGGCTCCCCTGCCAGGATAAACCCAGAGGAGCCCTGGGCCATCCCCAAGTCAAGTGCTCATTTGTCAGTGGTGACCAGAGTAAGTCTACTCTTTGCCAGCGATGAAGAGGACAGGATGTAGTTTACAACTCACCATCATGGGAGTTTTCCCACCTTGTTCTGGGAAAATTAGGCCTTCTATCATCATGCACTTCTTTCTCTTAGGATCAACAGCAACAGGCTCCACACCCAGAGATTACCAGCCTGTTAGGGAACAAAGGAGTATGAAAGGGTTCAAGGCACCCCCTCCTCCACATCTGATTTTCTTCAGTTCAGCTCAGCAAACATACTCATCACCTCCTCCATCCCAGCCACTATGCTAGATCCATGGCATCACCAGGGTGAAGGGCCCCTAGTCTCAGATGTCACAGGCTGATGGGGGCACTGCACACAGAAATACCATTTTACTATGATGAAGGTACAAGGTACCAAGGAGCACTAATTATGGACGCTTAACACAGTCCTGGGGCTCTGAGAAGCCCTCCCAGAGGAGATGGCTCCAAGGGTAAACCCCAAAGGATGAGTGGGCATTAATCAGGGCACTGTGGGCCAAGGAAGTAGCACAGGTAAAACCAAGGCATACAAGCCATCTAGTACACAGGGAACTGCACACAGTAGTATCAGAATATGAGATCAAGGAGCTAGAGAAGGAGCTGAAGAAGTAGGTATAGGCCTTACCTACTGCATCAAGAAGTTTGAACTCTATCCTGACAAGCTACTGCAACTTAAGCAGGTGAGTGACAGTCAGATGTGCTTTAGACAGGTCACTCTGCAAAGTGTAGGAGAGGAGGGATGATGGTTAAGAGAAAGAAAACTACACTTGGAGGCCATCAGTAGACTGCTGTACTGGTCCAGTAAGAGCTGCGGGCCCACAGAGGAGGGATGGACGGTGGTGACCGATTTGACAAATGCCTAGGATGTAAACTGGCTGGCCCAGGTGACTCCCTGGCTATGGGGGCATCTAGGATAACTCCCAGGTTACTGCCTTGGGTGACTGGGTGGGTGCCATTCACCAAGAATGGAGACATTGACACAAGTTCAGAAAAGAAGACCTACATTTGGGGGGTGTTATATTTGAGGGGCTTCAATATAGCCAAGAGGAGGTGTTCTGCAAGAAACTGAACTCAAAAAGCTGAAGTTCAGAGTACTCAGAGGTGGATGTGTAAATTTGGGAGATATACGTAGTTATTAAAATCACAAGTATCAAGCTGATTCTGGGAAAATCTATCTTTCTGCTAAACAAATTAGACTGGGGAAGTTCTCTAAGGCTGTGATTAGCTAAGGGGGGGAAACAGGACAGTGCAAATGACCTAGTACTTAGTCCTTGGTACGAGCACATTAACAAATATTTAATCTCTGCCATAACAGGTGTTCCTGTGGATTGGAGTTGAGGCCAATGCCGCAGAGAAGGGGAGTGCCCTCGCTATGGCCCAGGAGTACTTGCAAACTCACCCCAGTGGCCGAGATGTTGACATACCAATTGTCATCGTTAAACAGGGGTTCGAGCCTCCCATCTTCACTGGCTGGTTCTTGGCCTGGGACTCTCATATCTGGAGCGTAAGAATGAGAAAGAGAATGTGGAAGTTCCTACTGCCAGGCACTATAATAACCCGGTGGGAAGGTGGGGAACTAACTCAAGGGCTGAGTAAATCCAGGACATTTCCCCCACTTCCTCTCCACTCCCTGCTTTTTACTTTTCTTCTCTTTTCCACTGTCCAAGCACTAAGTCTGATTAGAGAATTCACAGCTTGACTCGGGAATAGCAGTGTGCAGAATTAATACACGCTGTGTAACATTTATTCCCACACATCATCTCTTTGAGCTGTGCAACTGTCCCAGCTGGGGCAAACATTGTTCTTCATGTTAGAGATGAGGAAGCTTAGAGGAGGAGTTAACTGTCTACAGCCACAATTAACAAGCAGGAAGAAGCCAGGTTTGGGGATTCCTAGTCAACTGCTTTAAGTCTTGTATAGAGCATTGAGGAGGCACTAGCAAAGAATGCAGATCATGGTTATGTACCTTCCAACCCTGCATGGATCCTGAAGGAGGGATTTTCATTTTTGCTTTTCCCTGAAATGCCTTCTGATTCCCTGGCTCTTTTTGCTGCTTCCTGAGGGTCCAGGCTGGGGCTGAGATGGCCCTCCCCTGAAAGTGGCGCCCCATCCTGTGCTTTCTCTCTGCTTTTCAGGCAGGGAAATCATATGAACAGTTGAAAGAGGAGCTGGGAGATGCCACTGCTGTCACAAGAATCATGGCTGTGAGTTGGGTTTGCTCTGGGAGAAGCAAGTCACGCAGGCAGCCAGAAGCACAGAGACCAGCCAATGCTGCAGATGCCTCACGGTGAAACCCTAGCATGCCCAGGGCACCACTCTAGCGGCCTCTCTTGATATAAAGATTGTTTCAATCAGAAGAAAAGCAGGTTTTAGAACTGAGTGCCTTCCAGAATTTAGAGTAGACTTGCTGTTTAAAAAACAAAAACAAATACCAGTTTCTAATTATTCAACTCTTTTCATTCAAGACAGATTAAGCTGATATTATTTTTCAGAAAAAATAAGCTTCTTACCAAAATGGTATGTTTATCAGTTTCTGACAGTGCAGTCCATAGACACTCAGGCCATCGCCCCTATTTTAATGGCTAAAAAAAGTAGAACCTCCAGCCAGGAATCCAACAGCAACTAAACATCAGGACAAGTGCCTGGTACCAGGTGTCCAAACCACCTAGCAGTTTTATCTCTTGTGCTCTATAAACTCAAGATTCCAAAGCTAATGGTGATATAGCAGCTTGAAAGTATGTTTAAGAAAAATATGACCTCAATTGGAAATCATTTAAAGGCTGGAAATGTAGAGCCTCAGTAAAAATGTCAAGAGAAGGTATATGATCACAATATTTAAATGAGATTTAGGTACGGCATTTATGCCAAACTGCCTGTCCAGGATTTACCTGTTTTACTAAATCAGTTTTTCCAAGAAGGATCCCAAAATCTGAGTATTTTAGATTCCCAGATGATTCTGACATACAGCCAGATTTGGGGACCATTGTTCTAAAAGATAAGCACAAAAGGTGAAGTGGTGTAAGCTACAATGTCCAACATTATACACACAGAACTTCGACTGCACAGACCCTGAACAGTCTTTTATCTTGTGTCCACATTTTTATCTTACCTAGGATGTAAAGAATGCAACTTTCTCCCTAAATCCTGAGCCAAAATATTACTCTATAGAAATTCTGTTGAAAAATCAGAATCAGGAGCTGCCTGAGGATGTGGACCCTGCCAAAAAAGAGGTGGGTGGCTAAAGTAACCACATCTGACATGAGTGGAGCCCCCTGTCCATAAATAAAGCACCGGCTCGTTCTCAGCATGTGGCCTGGGACATTGTGAAGCATCGTGGGCACTCAGCAGACATTTGAACTACCCAGTGGCCCAGATCTAAACCCCAGGGCTCCTTCTTGAGTCTTCCTTCACGCTTCCCACATTAGTCCACCAGCTAGCTCTCTCCGCTCTCCACCTCTCTGCTGCCAGTCTGGCCCAGCCATGTGAACTCCTGCATCAGTCTCCCAACTGGTTGCCAACTGTCCCTACAATCTGTTCCCCACATAGCAGCCAATAGGCTTTTAAAACAGATGATGCTGTTCTATTTAAAACACCTTGAATGGCTTCCCACTGCACTTAGAACAGAATCCAGAGTTCTTTCCATGGCCCCCAAAGCCCTGCATAATATGGCCCCTGCCCACCTCTCTGATTTCACCTCACATGCCTCTACCTCACATGAGGCTCCTTTCTATGTCTTGAACATACTCATTCCAGCCAATGAGCCTTCACACTTGCTATTGCTCCTGCCTGAAAACACAGTTCCACAGATCATCACACAGCTAGTTCCTTCTCATTAGTTAGGTCTCAGCTACAATGTTACCAGCCCAGGAAGGCCTTCCCTGACCACCCTAATACACCTTCCCTCACTCTCCAGTCCCTTTATCTTTCACCTCCCTAGTAATATCCTTAAGAGTAAAGACTTCATCTGTCTTGTGCACTATCATATTCTCAGATTTTCAGCACCTAAAACAGTCCCTGGCAAATAACAGGCACTCTTTCTTAAGTTTTTGTTGATGAATTAACATATTCATGTTGAATGAATTGGTTTCTTTTCCCCTTGAAGGATTTGATTTGGGGAAGGGTGTCTGGATTTTCCACAATGTCTTATCTAGACAGCTTTTAAGTATCTGTACTACAACTTTCTAGAAAAGAGGCCCTATCTTAGTAATTGTACTTGGATAGAAAATATTTATTAAGCATCAATAAATAAATGTTACAAGAATTTTATGCTGTCAACAAGATCCACCTGATCTTGCTTTTGGAAATGTCTGGATAAAAATGGTAGATAAGGACTTAAAGCAAGGAAAACCATAGCTTGATTTAGTTCTCCATTCAGCCAAAACCTAATGTCTACAATTCATTATATATAACCCATTTCTTATTCTTCTGGCAAGAACCTAGTGTCAGGTGGGACCATGAGAGCAACAAATCCAGCTTCCTCCACAGGCTTCCACAAGCTGAAGAACTCTCTGAGGAGTAATTTGTCTATTACAGACTTTCTGAAAAAGTCACCCTATTTCCCCCCTCAAGGATCCTCTCCTGGCCCCATTCCCCCACCTCTGCTGGCATTGATAGTTGCCACATCTTCCTTCTAACTGGAAACTCTATTTTCTCTCTTAGAATTACCTCTCTGAACAGGACTTTGTTTCTGTGTTTCGCATCACAAGAGGGCAATTTGCTGCTCTGCCTGGCTGGAAACAGCTCCAAATGAAGAAAGAAAAGGGGCTTTTCTAAGGCAAGAAGGCATATGCCTATGCAGGACCACAGAAGAGTACAGAAAGTACCTTATCAGGAAAGAATTTATCAGCAAATTTTTGCCTAACAGCCAGCTATTTAATTCAGATACAATAGGATCTGCAAATCACGGCATGTTCTCTATTTTCTGCATTCCTACGTTGTTATATACCTAAAATGTTAACTACTCATTTTTTGATGTTTGTGGCCTCAGCAGAAAGCACTAAACTGCATGAATCTGGAGAAGTCAAAAGAGAACCAAAAAGCTAAGTTTAAAGTATACTAATAATGAAGTAAGGACCTAAGTTTGTTTTAAATTTTAAGATCGGTATTTCTAAAACCTATTTAGCCCACAAATCACTTAAGTTATTTGTGTATGTAGCCAGATCTGTATGTGCCAGAGATTTTGAACTTTTCAAATAAAGATACCTGTGTGAGCAAATGAGCTCTCTTCAGTGTTCTGGGTCTGCCTGTTAAGGTAAATGTTTTCTGTTACACTGGGAGGAAAGTCTCGGTTCTACCAAGTACAGGGGCACTGCTGAGTGAGCTATGGGTAACTGGCCACTGTGATTCCTGTTTCTGGCACAAGAATGCCAAAATCTGCCTTCCAGCTGTCCAGGAAGCCTCAGTCCCCACCCATCCACACCCCATTATCCAGAGAAACACGGCCATGTGTTACCGATTTCAGTAGTGAGGCCAGAGCCAGTGTGTACATTCCTGCAGAAACCCTTCAAAGGACGGAGCAGACAGCAACAAATGAACCACACTTTCCAGATCACTCTAAGTGTGAGTCACCAATTCCAAAGGAATGTATGTGGCAGGAGTGATGAAACTGGGGAAGCTGCAGGATAGAAGCATTGTCCAAAGCATCACAAAGTAAAAACAGAGAAGAGAGTTCTGTGTCCTACAAATAAGACAGAATGAGTTAGAAATTTAGGGATACTTTAATAAACCAGTGCTGAGGGGCAGCAGCACAGCTGTCGGTCACATTGCTAAGGCCCACCTGCTGCCACTAAAGTGAAGCACAAAAAGGCTAGCCCAGCACGGGGCAGACATGGGAAGATTCACTGTTCATTAGATAACCATTTTATTGAATAACTTTACCCATGAAATATATAATTTCATTATAAACACAAAGAAAAAAAAAAACCTCTGGGTTTAAAGAAGCTTAGGAAATAACTTCTTTTTGTAATGAAGTCCAGAGTTAGTAAACATTTCCTCTTAGGCCAAAAGTCTCTGGAACTTATTCAGCCTCTGCTGCCTCTTCGCTTTCTCCACATTCAAACCGCACAAAGTCTACTACAGATACCCCTCGGGGCTGCACATACTGCCCCAGTGTGATGGAAGGATCCAGCAAGTATGGCTGGGACAGCATCTTGGTTTCCTCCTCTCCCCCAGGCTCATCGTCCAAGGAGCCAACAGAGCGGGGGGCCATGCCCACTACATGCTGCCCAAGGCGGCGGCCAAGCTCTTCAAGGTTTGCTTTCTGCTCAGACGTCTCGCAGATTACAAGGGCCCCATACTTCCCCAGCACCAGGTTGTGGAGCAAGGGACTGTGCACTGCTCCATGGACATAAGAGCCAATGTAGAACCCATCTGGCACCTTCACCCATGCAGCTCGCTTCAGAGTCATGTTTTCTCCCAGTTTCCCTACAAAAAAGCAAAAACAAAAATATACTTCCAGAATATGATGGCTATGGTAGTGCCAAAATATACACAAAGGCAGCCAACCTTGGAAGAGAGTCCTCTGCATTTACACTGTGGACATGCTCTAATTTGGGAATGGGGAGACTTTTTATGGAGCACCAATTATGTGCCCCACTGGTATTAAAAAACATAGGCTACGGTGTCACACAGACCCTGGACTCCGTTCTTCGTTCTGCCTCTTACCAGCTATCTGACATTAGGCAACTGACTTAATGACATAACCCCACTTACTATAATTTATCAGGTCTTGGTTTCCTCAGCTGAAAAAGCCTTATTACAGTATTGGACAGAGTGAGCGTTCAAATGCTTGCTATCACTACTATATCAAACTTAGGCTTAAAGAGGGAAGCAGTCCACCCCAGGTTACATGGCTAGTGTATAGCAGAGCCAGGATTAAAACCCAGTTATGACTCCAAAACAAGTGGTTTCTTTTTCCCACCACTTCATCATTCCTCCCCAACACCACCACAACTGACACAGACAATTCCTGAGTATCCATTGTATCAGGAAAAAGTCCACAACTAAAAGCCCCAGAAAATCCAAAATCCTGTCATCCAACAGTTCCAATTCCTCTCACCAAAAAAAAGATGACATTTTCAGACTTGTTTTTAAGAACGAGAAGTGGACTGCAGGTTTCCCCTTTCTCTCAGGATGCTCCCCACTCTAACAGAAGTCCAAAAAGCCAAAAGACAGCAAGGGGTAGGAGAATAAACAAAGCAATCTGGATAAACATACTGCATTAGCCACGGTTATTCCTAAAAGGCACGGAAAGGGAGTGTCGAGAACAAGAGGAATCTCAAAAGCAGCTCAAAGCCCCTACTCCAGAGTTAATTCCCAGAAACTGACAAGGCTAAAATGCCCAGTACTTCCAGAATTTCTTAATAAGTCCCATACACAGCTGTCTGCCTGGTTTCTAATCCATGACTCACTGAAACATCATACATACTTTAAGATAACCTGACAAAACAGAATTGATGCCCTGACTGGAAATGTCAGATAAGCAGTAAATTCCCAGCAAGCTCCAACCCCAGCCCTACTTCCCTCCTCCCATCCAGCACACGTAAAAAGGCAAAATCCCCACTGGGCCCACCACAATAATCCAGATAAGGTTCTGAGAGAATGGACCTTCACAAATTCAGAACCAGATTTGTTTAAAAGTCAAATTCCTAAATGTCATGCCCTGAAATATCCATGGGTTCCTTTATAAAGATGGTGAAATGCCCTCTGATATACTGTTTCTCCCGTGTACAGACAGGTAGTCAGCTGGAAGTCAAAAGGTCATCTCTGCCTAAGGACATGTTTTGTTTGCTCAGCCCAGATGCCTGAAGAATGTTGAAACTAATTTTAATTAGTTGCAAACAGCCAAAAACTGAGGTTTTTTTGCATACAAATCTCAATTCTTTGAAAGGAATTTAGTAATGTTGATGACACTGGGACCCCATTTCCCCCAAACTAACAACTGGCTAGAGCTGGAAAATGGTTTCCTTCAGCAGTAGAGCTTTTCAGGGTGTCTACTGCTCACTAATATCTAATACACAACCCACTTGTCACATTCATATTATCTGACCCTTGCAGGCACAAGAGCTTATAATTCTTGAACTAGATTTGGAGAAATACCAAAGGTATCAGGAGAGTCAGTTCTTAATTTTCTGTTTCCAGAATCCCTACAAATACTCACCAATTGCTAAGGCCAACTGATCTTTGAGAGAACCTTCTCTCTCAGGCCCAGCTGGAATTTCAGAGAGTTCGGAGGGATTCAAGAAGCCCTAATTGCACAAAGAAAATGAACAAAATCAGTTCTGTACTATTCAAATTATTGAGACTCCCTCTCTCCCCTTCCCTGCCGTCACCCTCCCTCTTCCTGTCTTTGTAGCTGTCTGTTGAAAAAGCAGAGCAGCAATGGTATCTCAGTAGCAATAAGCATACCTAATTCCCAGATCTTGGTCTCTAAAAAGCATTCCACCACTAAAAAGGATCATGACTCCTTGGAAAGCGACTGATTCCACAGTTGGGGCAAGGAAAGCATAACATAAACCCATAATATCTTGTTATACCAAAAAGGAAATGCTCAGAAAATAATGAAGCTATAGCAAGAGCACAGTGGAGCCCACTGCGCAGGCTTGGCTTGCACTAGCCAAGTCCAGGGATAACTTGAACATCAAAATGAATACAGGACTTATAGTGAGTCAATACTAAATGACTAAATAAAGAGAGAAGTCTCCTTCTGAAAGTAGAATACCTAATAATAAAACTAACACAGGTACAAGAAATTACAAGAGAAAAATAATCATTATAACTATCATGGTAATAACTGATCTCAACAAGAGTCATCAAGAGAGGCTAAAACTATTAGGCAAGAGCTTTTTTGAGGAACTGGATGTTTACACACAACCTCTAAGAATCTCCCATACAGATTACTTGTTAATTACAAGAGGAACATGGTAACTTTACAGTTCAGAAACTTGGCAGATAGTACCTTAACTAAGAGATCAAAGTTAGTATCACAATAATGGGACCAAGAGTTATCATGTGGCTCCTGATGTGATGTCCTAAGAAAAATAGAGTATTTTATTTAATATTCCTACAAAAATCCATGTTCTAGGAAGAAACATCATACAAACTCAAATTGGAGGATATCCTATAAAATTATCCTGTACTCTTCAAAAATTTCAATGTAATTAAAGGCAAAGAAAGGATGAGGAACAAAGGAAAGAGATTCAACAGACAAGACAACTAACTGTAGTACATTTCTGGGGGGTAGGATTTAATACTGAGTGTTCCTGAAGAATCACTGTGTTGTATACTTGAAACCAATATCATATTGTCTATCAGCTTTCCTTCAAGAAAAACAAGTAAGTAAAAATACACAATTCTGGACTCTATCCTAGACCAAAGAAAAATTGCTAGCTGGAAAAACATAAATATATATTGTATACTAATGTTAAATTTCCTTTATTTGATTACTGTACTATGGTTATATAGGATAATGTCCTCATCTGTAGCATAGATATTGAAGGGATACAGTCCTGATGTCTGCAATGTACTCACAAAAGGGTAAAAAAACAGTAATGATGATAATAACATGTAATAAAAAGTGATAAAGTACAATAGCCAAGAAATGGAAGCAACCTAAGTGCCCATCAGTGGATGAAAGGATAAAGAAGAGGTGGTACATATACACAGTGGAATATTATTCAGCCATAAGAAGAAAATAAATGCTACCATTTGCAATGACATGGATGGAGCTAGAGGGTATTATGCTCAGTGAAATAACCCAGATGGAGAAAGACAGGTACCAAATGATTTCACTCATCTGTGAAGCATAAGAACAAAGCAAAACTGAAGGAACAAAACAGCAGCAGACTCACAGAACCCAAGAATGGACTAACAGTTACCAAAGGGAAAGGGATTGGGGAGGGAGAAGGGGAATAAGGGGCATTACAATCAGCACACAACGTGGGGGTGGGCACAAGGAAGAGAGGACAGGTAGTGACTCTGTAGCACCTTACTATGCTGATAGACAGTGACTGTAATGGGGTATGTGGTAGGGACTTGATAATGGGGGAAATCTAGTAACCACAATGTTGCCCATGTGATTTTATATTAATGATACCAAAATGTAAAATAAATTTTTTAAAAAGTGATAAAGCAAATGAGGCAAAATGTTAGCAAAGGGTGAAATCTAGATAAAAGTACGCTATAATTTGTTGTAGAATATCATAAACTTTTCTATGAGTTTGAATTTTTTTCAAAATAAAACTTTCAAAAAATTAAAGACCAAAATGGAAAAAAATAAATAAAGCTAAAAGGGACCAAAGTTTCTTACAGATAAGGAAACAGAGGCACAGTAAAGTAAGTGAATAGCTCAGGGTTACAGAGTTACTGGCAAAGTCAAGATTAGAATGTCTAGTGCAAGTGGCTCACCTACTCAATACAATTCTACAAAACAATTTCAACATATTTTTCCACAGAATATGACTATTTAGTGTCAGTAATAATTAGCATTTACCATGAGATCTCAAGGAAATGATAAATAGGAGGAGAAAAAGGATGACACTAAACACACACAAAAAATTGTGAGCAGTTGGTTCATTTGTACCTTGAAAATAGAATGAATCAAAAGCAAACTAATACAACTCCTTCCTTTAATCCTTCTTTGGACAAGAATATGCTTATTCTAAAAAATTGTGATGACTGGTTAGCCAGAGACGGGTAAGATTCCTCAAGGGAGGAACAACCTAAGACGGGCACAGTCGCAGGGGGGCCATCAGGTGAGAATTTGGGGATCAACAGAGGTGAGGCTCAGAACCTCACCCCCCCTGCTTTGAGAGAAATCTTCTGCATCCGTGGATGTCTTGCTGCCCTTGTCTAGCCTGGATTAATACTTAGTCCATAGGCACACACCTGATCATCTGATCATCTACATTTGCCTTCTTACAGCACTAAACTATGTTTTCTACCTTTATCTTGCATCTACCTACCACTTCAGCATTTTATTAAAAATAAAAATAATAATAATAATAGGAGAAAGGTGGGATCAACATATAAATCAAGTACAAAAATCAAATGAATATTCATATTTGACCTGATGGTTTATAGGTCATATTGCATGATCAAAACCGAAAGTTTCTGTGATGA